TTCTGAAGGAAGAATCAATCTTGTCATGGGACAAACCCCGAATCAAATTTTTGGACAGTTACCAACATGCTATGTAACTGTGGGCAAGCCACTCAACTTCTCTTGCCTTTAGTTTCCTTGTCTGTTCAATAGGATTGTAATATCTATGCAAATGAGGTACATTTCTTTTTAACCTGATTAGTATACTTCACCATGTGACCTTACTGTTTATGTGACTTTTGTCTGACTTAATATCCTTGTAGTTTTGGATGAATTAAAAGGAATTGCACTCCCACAGTGATAGTTTCAATGGTACTGGGCACATATTACCAATCATACTAGGGGACTATAGAAAGTTTGTGGAAATTTTCAATTATTTTTGAATTCCATTTTCCACAAATTTTTGAGCCCCCCCTTTTTGTGTGTGTGTGTGTGTGGTGTGATGTGTGTGTGTAGGGAGTATGTATTTTGTGTCTATGTGTGTGGTGTATGTATGTGGCATATGTCTGTGTGTGTATGGTGTGTGTGTTGTCTGTGTTGTGTGTGATGTGCATGTGTGTGGTGTGAGTGATGTGCACGTGTGTGGTGTGTGTATGATGTATGTGTGTGATATGTGTGTAGTGTGTATGATATGCGTGTGGTGTGTGTGGTACATATGTGGTATGTGTGGCATATGTGTTGTGTGTGTTGTGTATGTGACGTGTATGGTGTGTGCAGTTGTGTGTATGGTGTGTTGTGTGTGTGATATGAGTGTGGTGTGTGTGTGATCAGTGTGTGGTGTGTGTGTATAGTGTGTGCGCTGTACGTGTATGGTATGTGTGTGTATACTGATTATCATGGCTGTTGTGAGGATTGAAGGAGACACTAAGTGCCTGGCACTTGATGCATTATGACCCACACAACAACATTTGGTTGTCGAGAGTCTCTCTTGGCAATTCCTCCTGTGGCTGGCCTTAAAGGAGTGCCTTGGGTTGTGTCTCCTCAGTACGACCGGGCTGGTGTCTTCCTGGCAGCTGCAGCTTGTCTTCCGAGCGCCTGAGAGCACCTTCCTGCTGTTCTCACCCTAACGGATGCTGACGCTTTCTGAAGCTCATCCATTTTATTTTCCTTGCTTGTGACTAAGAGATACCGCCGAATCATGGCACCTAGCTGGGGTCACTTTGATGTAAGGCTGTCAGGCACTTTCCTAGAGCTATTATTGCATTTTAATTTTCTTTTAAAATGCTTCTCAAATACTCGCGGCCCCTCTGTGGTCTTGGGAAGGCCAACAGCAGGATGCCATCCTGCAGTTCTTCACTGGGCAGGTCTAAGGGTCATCAGAAATCCATTGGGGTCAAGTTGATTCTGGCTCATAAGCTAGAGTAAAACTGCCCCCAGAAGGGTTTCCAACACTGTGCATCTCTAAGGGAGAAGGCTGGCACATCCTTCTACCCTAGAGCAGATGGTGGGTTTGGACTGCTGGCCTAGTGCTTACTTACTCTGTGACCAGGGCTCCTTAAAGACCATAAAGAGGCACAAATTGGTAAGAGTAGGGAAGTTTTCTCCTGACATTGGGACTAAGCGCTTGGCTGCTCAGCACAAAGGTGCTCTGAATCCACCTCAAAGCACCTCGGAAGAAAGGCCTGGTGATCCCATTCTGAATGATTGCTGTTTGGTGCTGTCGAATCAGCTCCCACTCAGAGTGAACGGAACACGGACCATCCTCACCACTGTTCTTATGTTTGAGCCCATCGTTGCCGCATCAATCCATCTGGTCACAAGCCTTCCTCTTTTCTGCTGCCCTTCTGCTTTACCAAGCAAGATGCCCTTCTCCCGGAACTGGGCTCTGCTGATAACATGTTCAAAGTACGTGAGACCAAGTCTCACCATCCTTGCCTCTAAGGGGCATTCTGGCAGTACTTCTTCCAAGATAGTTTTGTTTGTCCTTTTGGCAGTCCGTGGGCTTTCAATATTCTTCACCAGCACCACCATTCACATACCTTGATTATTCTTCAGTCTTCCTTATCCAGTGCCCAACTTTCATGTGCATATGAGGCAATTAAAAATACCATGGCTTGGGTCAGACACACCTTAGTCCTCAAAGTAACAAACATCCTTGCTCTTCGATACTCTGAAGATGTCTTGTGCAGCACATTTACCCAATGTAATGTCCCCTTTGACCTCTTGATTGCTGCTTTCCAGAGCATTGATTGTGGATCCAAGCAAGATGAAATCCTTGACAACTGCTGTCTTTCCTCCACTGATCATGATGTTACCTAAGAGCCTTGGTGGCTCAGTGTGGTATGCTTTGGGCTGCTAAGCACAAGGTCAGCAGTTTGAAACCACCAGCTGCTTCTTGGGAGAAAGATGCAAGTTTCTATTCACATACAAATTTACAGTCTGTAAACACAAGATTGAACGCCATGGAAACCCACAGGGGCACCTCTATATTCTGAAAGATTACAACCATTGAAAATCCCATGGAGTAGTTCTATTTTGACACATGTAGGGTCACCACCTGTCAGAATCCCCTGGAGGAGATGATTTTATATTAAACGAGTACTTTACTACGGAGGGATCCCTGGTGGCACAGCAAGTTAAACGTCAGACTCTGAACCATAAGGTTGGTGGTTCAAACCTAGCAGTCACTCCACGGGAGAGAGCTGCAGGTATGCACGCTTGTAGAGAGTCACAGCCCTGGAACCCCATGGGGGAAGTTCTGCTCTGTCCAATGGGATCAGTGTGAGATGGAATAGACTCAGTTACAATGAGTTTAACTTGGGAGTTTACTGCCAAGGTAACATCTATAGGTCTGGATGTGTCTAGAAGCGTAACCATCCCTTTGTGAGCAAGACGTCGTTGTTCCCAGGGATTCCTTTGTGGTCATGGCTGTGCACAAAGTGTGTGTGTGTGTGTGTGTGTGTGTGTGTGTGTGCCACCTCTCCAGTTGGCAGATTATGACCTAGATCCTACCCACTCTGCACTTCACTTACTACCTGACACTTCTCAACTTTTCTTGGATGCCAACCTGGGCTTAACATCCACCTATGTCTTTGTACCTCCTCCTTAGCTGGGTAAAAATCCCCAGGCCATTAGAGTTAGGGTTGGGGGGGTGGGGATCCCCAGGCCACTGTGTTGCCAGACCTGCTCCAGATTTCTGTCTAGTAAAATGGAGACAACGTTGTAAAAGCCCACTCGCAAATGTCTGTTTAGTCATTCTTGCTGGCTGCCCTGAGACTGTGTTCCAGTATTGCCGCCTGTGGGCCCCTGGAGTCCAGGCTGGAAGGGCTTTCTCACCCAGCCGGCCGTGCTTTCTGGGGTTCTAGATGTGGAAGCTGGGGTGTAATGCTAGGGCGGTCTCTTCTTTCCTCTTCTTTTTGTGAGGGATGACTTTGTCAGGTCCCCTCGGTCATGGCCACTGGAGGTACGGAGTCCCTGCCCTGAGGTAGCTCGGGACCTGGGAGAAGTAATCTCCAAGCAAGTACTCCTAATGGAATATTAAGTGTTGTGTTTAATAATACACAAGGCTGCCCCAAGAGGCGGGGAGCATTTGTGCAGACCCTTCTTTTTCTTGAATGAAGTCCTGATGGGTGAGTGTGGGGAGTAGGGGCTAGGGCTGGGGGAGAAAGGAAGTGGGGGGACATCTTTGGCTGAAGACCAGGCTTTGGAGGTGTCAGCTCTTTAATAGACGGGCTAGTGTGTAGACAGCATTTCCAGGAGGAAAACCAAAAAGACCTGCCACAAACATGTTAGTTAATTCGTTTACGAATGTCCTTGATGGTCTCATGCACTTTAAAGCCTATTTGTAGTCTCAACTGTCTGTGGAGCAAATCCCTTGCGGCCAAGCTGATTCCTATTCTCAGCACAGAGCAACCCCGTAGCACAGAGTAGAATGGCCCCATTGGATTCCCTAAGCTATCATCTGTACTACAGCTGATGGCCACACCTTTCTCCCTTGGAACAGCTGGTGGGTTTGAAATGCTAACCTTGTATTTAGCAGCTGAGTGCATGAACCACTCCAGAGCTACTGGAATATCTCTTGAAGCTCTGTGGAAAAACAAAGGGAAGTAACTTTTCATCTCAGTGCAATCCCCAAAGCCATGTCTTCCTCACCACTTCCCCAGGGACAACTTCCATTCTGGTCAGTTCCAGATTCCCACAGGGAATTCAGTTTGACAGGAACCTCAATGAATACCAACCAGCGTGCATCTCTTGTGTTGCCCTTACTCTGCCACAATGAAGAAGTAGACTCTTCAGTGATAGAGTCAACCCCACTTGACTTGATGCTCCCCTACTGCTTGACTCCAGCAACTCCAAGTAGAAAAATCCATGGGAGAACTTGGATTGGCCAGCCTAGGTCATTGCTCACCTCTTGGTCTGACTTGGATCACTTGCCAGAGACCCAAGACACATCTTCATTGCTTCTGTGCACATTGGCCTGAGTGCCAACCGCCAACCCTTCCATCTCATTAATGGAGCTCCCAGAACCCGCTCTGCCTCAGGGTTTGGCCAGCTGGGAGTGCTGAGGCAGCCGTGTCTCCCAGGGGCAGCTCTCGGTCAGTGATTTATGAGAGTTGGTGTCTACGTCCTTGGAGGCTCCGTTGGGCCCTGGCCTGCGCGCTGCACCATTTCCCAGAATTCTGCAGAAGCCAACTCCAAACATGTTTCCAGTGCTGGGCCCTTCAGTCTTGTCAAAGGAATGGCTTCTCGTTGTTCTTACTTGCATCCCCTGGACCATCACTGAGACTGATTAACTTTTTGTACCCACGTTGTTTTGAACACAAAAGGAATTCCTGAAATGAGAGTACTTCAGTATGTTCATTTAGGAGGGAGGGGAGAAGTTGTGGGCTTTGTCTTGTCAGGTGACATTGCAAGAACGCCCTGTCCATCTTTTCTTGATCTGCAGTCAGGATGCTGCCCTTGCTGTGGCTCATGTATGTGTGTTCTAGCCGTCATCCCCACAGCCGGGGAGGTGACTGCTCTCGAGGGCTCTGTGATCATGTGTTGGGTGTGACCTTCTCACTCTGTCTCTTCATTTTCAGACGCCACCCAGATGAACAACGCAGTGCCCACCTCTCCTCTGCTCCAGCAGATGGGCCACCCACACTCATACCCTAACCTGGGCCAGATCTCCAACCCCTATGAGCAGCAGCC